TTCTATTTAAATATGACATTTATTTAGTTTTGCTGTGCAGTTAGGTGGACTCTTAGTTCAACAGATAAAATTCCAATCTCATTGAAAATTTGAGAACTTGTATTTTACATCATTAGTACAAACTTAATGGGCTAAGAGATCAGAAAAATCTGCATTGCAATTCCATCTAAATGAGTCCCCAGATTCTGACAAAACAAGCTTAAACAGCATGTCAGAACTTAGCAGTTACTCCTGGTGTGGCAAAGCTGAAAACTGTACAGAAGAATCAAGGGGACAAAAAATGTTTCCCATTTCTTAAGTTACATGCAATCCCTCCCCCAATTCTATTTTCAATTTGTGTTTTTCTCTGTGTCAAAACCAAATTGAAACGTGTCACTCTCAAGATGTCAGCTTCAGTAAACACCACTGCTGTTCCATTACAGTAATACAACATTGTCAGTAGAAAAAGCACTCCAAAATAAATGCTGCCACATTTGGACAAGAAGTGCTTGTACCATGCTGTTCTATTGTCCAGAGAGGACCAAGACATACAAGGAGATCCTAACAGGCAAAAGAGATAGGGCAGCAAGTAAGCAAAAGTCCTTGCTCTTTCAATCAGGTAGTGAGTAACTAAGCGAAGAATTTTTAAAATCCTATCAAAGATGGAACACACATATATGGCAATTAATAAAATGCAATTTCCTTTCGCACGTTTACAGTTACACAAAAACACATGCAAAAGTTAAACAGAATAGAAGCACAGAGAGAAAGAAATAGGATCATAATCATCAGCTAACTCACATTAATGTCTCTCTCATGGATCTCATCAACAATAACATGACTAATGCCACGGATCCCAGCCTCCACCTTTCTCAGAAGAACACCTTAAACAGACATAGTAGTTAAATGCTCATGTAGGGAACAGCTCAGTCTCCCCGCCCCATCTCATTTCATCAAGAACAGTTGCACTGGCATTACTTTAAAAATCAGTAAGTATGCAGGCTGCTTGGCAGCTTTTACAGCCCCATCTCTAACTGCCACGCTCTCATCTGTACAAGTGATGGGAAGAGTATAAAGTATTCCCACTAGAAAGACTCTTTCTTCTTTGCCACCCAATATTGCTCCCCCTTCTGTCTTTTAAGGACAATCAATATATGGCAATTTTATCTCTTCAGGAGATCATTTCTGCGTGATACTAGACCCATATTATCATGCTTCTGAACAACAATCTTAATCTTTCTCTGCACAACGGTATGTCAGCAAACTTATTCTATCCAAAAAAAAAAGTTGTTAAACTTTTAAACAAAATTTCTAAAAATTTTAATGTAACCATGTTTCTGCTTTTGCTGCTAACTCAAAGAATTCACATCCATAATTAATAAGCTCCAAACATAAACAAAACAACACCCACCTACAGTGCAGAACATCACACTGGCATGTGGCCGAGGAAGCACAGATTCAAATCGCACGCTGTATCCACAGCTTTGCCCAGGTTCTTCACCTCTCTCATATGACACACGCTCTGCTACAGAAACGGCACTAATCCTCCTAGGCTGAGGGATGAAAAAGTTTTCTCTAACTTAATGATGAAGTTTTATAAGTTTATCGGAACACCACCAAAACCAAGAAAGTAAATTGTAAAAGCTATAGGTGTCCTGTCCTAAGATTTATTTACAGACTAGTCATTAAACCATAACACCCATAACAGCAGGATTTTTTCTTCTGAAATGGTCAATTCTGCACAAAAAAAATTACAAAGGAGGGATATACAGGAACTACCAGCCGGCATTTACCCAATTGTTTCCCCTCAGTCTGCCAAGAAGTATCTGGGCAAGGTACAAGCCAGATTATCCCAATTGTAGATACATGAAAGAGTAACAGTCCAAATGAAAATACACGATACTGAGGTTTCCCCCACATGCAGTACTGAGGAGATACTTTTATGACCGATGTCCTGTAATGATAATCAGATTTCTCAACACATCCTAACAGGTGATTTCTAGTATCTGATCACAAAACTTAAGTGGTTGTATTTGTAACATATTCCTCACCTGTGTCACTACTATGTTGCACTCTGCAGCTCGGTTGGTTTTGATGTATTCATCCAGGATATACTGTGGCACTTGTGTGGTTTTCCCACAACCAGTGGCACCACGAATTACAACAACAGAATTGTGGCGGATTGCATCCAGAATTTCACTTTCAAAATTCTTCACTGGTAAGGTCTTTCTCTCTTGTTGGATCTGGAAAAAGAATATTTCCAAAAATCTCCAATGTAGAGCGGACTGTTATGAACACGTTAAAGGACATGCGTGCAGAGACGAAAGTGGCGGCTGCAGCAGTACAGGCACTACCTCCACTGGGCCCCGCCTCGCCGTCGCTGCCTAAGCCAGGCCGACTTGAAACCTATTTCAGGGTCGGGCACTTTCATCCCATGAAAGGCATGACCAGCCAGCAGTGCAGTACCATCGCAGAGCTGGCAGGTGCCGCTGCAGTACCCACTGTGGAGCCATCACCCTGCCTGCCCAAAATTGAGGAAGCAAAAATCACAACCGAGGCCGTGACAAGGGATCCCAGCTGCCAGCCCAGCTCCGCTCCAGTGGAACCGCCACAGTCCTCCGCCCCAGCTTTACCAGCTCAAGCAGTGCTGCTCCCTGCTGATGACGATGAGGACTTATCAACCTGCTCCATTATAGAGGAAGAAAGAGCAGAATTGAAAAAGTTGACTCATCAGATGACAGAGGTACTCCAGAAATTAGACAATAATGCGGGGGCAACTGCCGAGTGGTTTGCTAAAAACGATAGCTCACCAGGAGTCCCACACAATTCCATCCGGCGACTCCTGTTGGAAACCTACAGCCCAACCCCTCCTGTGTCAGCTGCAACTCATGCTGTGACCCGCTGGTCGGGTGTAATCAAAGACGCTATTCTGGAGGGAGATTGGCATCCTGTTAGCACTATGGCCTGTCCGTTAGTGGTGGGGGTCAACAGCCCTCAGTATGAGCAACATGATTGGACGATTTTGCAACAGGCTATAAAAGCTGTGAAAGAAAATGGTATTAAATCTGAGCAGGCGCAAGCTGTTTTGGACTGGATTTATACAGCTGATGCCAATTCCCCATTCGATTGCCAAAACTTGGCCCGAGTGTTGTTAACCCCTGCTCAATATATTATCTGGGC